GCAACCCCCCGGCCCATCCAAGTAAGCCCTAAAAGCGCTATAAGCCCTAAACCCCAAACCTCTACAGTGCTTATCCTGAAGGTCATCGGCGCCTGGAGCCCACTTGGGCATCGCCTCCTGATCGTGTCGGCCGGGTTTTGGGGCTTGTGGCACAGGGTTTATGGTTTAGGGGTTTAGGGTTTCATAAGGGTTTAGGGGTTTAGGGGTTTAGGGTTTCATAGGGGTTTAGGGTTTAGGGGTTTAGGGGTTTAAGCGTTTCCGGGTTCAGGGTTTACGGGTTTAGGGGTTTAGGGTTTAAGGGATTAGGGGTTCAGGGTTTTTGGGTTTAGGGGTTTAAGGGTTAGGGTTTCGGGTATTTACGTGCTGTTTTCGGGTCTCAGATTTCAGGCTTCCGTCGTTGCGGCAACTGGGGCGAATCGGAGCCTGGCTGAAGCGGTACAGTCCAGCATGTATGTCTGCTCCTTACGGCCTAGGATCTCTTGCCACTGACAGGAAGCAAGCTATGAAGCAATCTGTCTTCACCATCTCACGCCTAAGTCAAAAACTTGTGGCTACCGCGCTATGCTAGGGCAAAGGGTGCTGTCACGTGTTTTCCGACGGTGCCCGCTGCCTCCAGCCATCGTAGATCCTGCAATGAGGATCGGACTCCGCGAGCTAGCTACTGGAAGGAGCGGAAAGAGTGCACGAAGGCAGTGTGATACTTCACCCAGTAGGGGCAAACGATTCAACGTCTACATCAAGCTGGGGCAGAAGCACCAGATGGCTGGAAGTTCGGACCTCCTCCTGAAACTTTGAAGTGCGCTGAATAAGAGCTTGCTACACAGACTCCACTGGGTCTCGCCTTCTGACATGCAAGTGGTCGTCCCTCTCTTGAGCTCCAGAAGCTCCAAAAATCCCTAACTCCACCCAAAGGCCCCATAGTAATTCCTTCTTGTGGCTTATACTTAGGATCCTATTAGGTAATCCCAAGAAGGAAATACTATGGGGCCTATGGGTACAGCCCATGACCTGGTGAGAAGCCCACACTTGTGACTTATTAACATGTGTAACGATTGCTGTGTATCTGCTTGTGTCTATGTTTAATACTATATTTATGTGTATATATGTATATACACATGCCTTGATGTGGATGTGAGTCTGTAGTACTGAATAAAATATTCATATTTATATCAAGGGCTTATAGGACGGAAGGCCCAGCGCCCGACGGTAGCTTGAGGGAGCGGGAATGCATCCAAAGGGCTTCAAGCTTTAGGATCTAGGCTTTAGGGTGTGGGGTGCAAGACTGGGTTTTGGGGATCTCGTACATTTTGGGGTGCACAAGGATTGAGAGGGTAAGAAGATGGTAAGATGGGTCTTAGGTTTAAAGGGCTTGAGTTCCCAGAGCCGGTCCCCGGACTGCATCTACGGCTCCTCGCGACAGAAGGCCAAGACAACATCCAGCTCAACATCCGCAGGCGGCCTGCTTTGTAGCCTGGCGTCAGTCCACAAAACTTCTCAACACCAGTAAACCCCCTGAAGTGCCAAGCACCGGGAGTTGAGAATCCCTGTCCTGTAACTCTTTCGCCACATGTGTAATTACTAGCAGGTCCAAGCTGGGATTTGATACTGATGGCAGCAAAGGCCGCATGAACCAACTATCCATGCCCAGTTTTAACATGAAGCTTGCTGAAGTCGGGGAGCTTGCCAGCTTGCCATGCAATGCGCAGAGAAGACACAACTGTTGCGGGAGACTCCTGCCTCTGCGTAGTAGCATGCACCCGTTGAATACGGTCGAATGCAGCATCGATTGGCCATGACCTGGTCTTGGTATTAGTTACTACAGAGAGCATCTCGTTACAGGAGCCCAAGGCATCAAGCACAGCGGTCCAGTTTTGGGATTGGACTTTGGCAGGCTGTCGTTCACTAGTTTACACACTGGAACGAGGAGGTTAGAGGGCGAGCCTCTGCCAGACAGAAACTGACCACATGACACGCTATTCTTTCGGGTTTTTTTTTATCATAAATACAATTCAATATACCCCAAAACCCCACTCCAATATTTGATACCTCCAAAAAACACCGAAAACTGGAGCTTTCACAGCCCAGTACTGGCGACATGGTCTTACTCTTGTCAGTCTGTCATGTTTCGGAAGCGCTCAGGCAGTATCAGGTCAAATTCGTGAGCCTGCGGGAATCTGCGGAGGCTTGGATAAAGCCGTTAGGCCAGTTGGGACTGTTGCCCCGTTTTGGTCTGAAAACCTGGAGCACGAGATCAGCTTGACGGGACTGTCATTCGGGATACAAGAAATCAGAGAGTCTGACGTCTGAAGCAGCAGTTCTATGAAGCTTCGATGCGGAGGCGGCTGCAATGGAGAGTTGGCAACAACAGTGTACGACTACACCAGAGAGCCCGAACAAGTTTCCAATCTGAGGGTCCCAACCGCAAGATGCCAAGCCCAAGCATTTCACAGCTGAAAGGCTTCCCCTAAACAAAGTCTAAGCCGTAAACTGCAAAGCTACAACCCCAAAGGCTCCATGTACCTTTATTGTAGTAACTTAGGCCTTAAAGTGGTCCCTATATAGGTACTTTAGGGCGTAAGTATCTACTATAAAGGTACATGGACCCTCTGGGAACAATCCTGAACCTTGTGGCCAGCAGCCAGGACTCCGCGCTCGCGAATCAGCCCTGCTAGGCGCTCTTCGAGCCTTGCTGCAACCAGGAAGCTGCTCATTTCTACGGATTTAAGGCTAAGGGTCTATAGGGTTTAGGGTTTAGGGTTATTTACCTTAAGAACCCAAAACCCACCTTTTTCTAGGGTCCCTACAAATCCCATATTAGGGTTTTTAATAAGAGCCTACAAAGAGTGGGTTTTGGGTTCTTAAGGTAGAGTAAGGTTTTGGGGTTGCGGGTGTAAGGTCTCTGGAGCCTGGGTTAAGGGTTTAGGGTTTAGGATCCATAGGCAAGGGTTTATGGATTTAGGGCTAAGGGTCTGTGGAGTAAGGAACGACGTGAACATGTAACACTGGATAACAAGCCACTCCGGAACACACCATATTTATCACTTAACTGTCGATTTGTTCACCGCTCTTTCTAAATTGGCATCTGTCTTGTCTGCTTGTTTGTAAGAGCGGTGCATGCATATGCCTATGCACATGTATGGAGAGTTATTTGTATGCGTTCAAGGTAACCTTGAGACTGTGCAATGTACTGGTGTTTGCAGATTTGCCTGCCTCCTCTACTCTTCATCTTCCGTGCACTTCTGGAAACACGCGACGAACACAAAACCCAGACGCAAGCCTCAGCATGTTTTGGACTTCTAGCAGACGACCAACCGGCGCAGGCAAGTTCTCTGAGGCTGTGTATATGCATATGCAAACAGACAGACTGTAAATGTATGTATGGCTGTACATATGTATGTACGTATGCCTGCATGCATGCATGGATAGATGGATGTATGTATACATGCATGCATGCATGCATGCATGCATGCATGTATGTATGTATGTATGTATGTATGTATGTATGTATGTATGCATATATGTATGTATAACCAATACACACATATATATCTTGTATCGACTCGAGAAGGCTGCTTGTAGAGATTTCGATCTTGCAAGCATGTTGCCGCGCAGGCAGGAAACGTGCAACCCGAAACCAAACCCTGCAAGCCCGGTCAGCCAAACAAACATGTAAAACCGAAACCCTAAGCTCTGAAGCCGCGAACCCGAAATCCCAAACGTAAGCTCTCATACCGCAAAGCCGGAACCCCACGCACGCACACACAAACAAAAACAAACACAAACACACACACACACACGCACACACACACACACACACACACACACACCCTGGCCTTTGGAAAATCCCGGCGCCAGTGGCCAGGAATTCTTGGGCAAGACTTGGCTCGGTGTAGAACTTCGTCTCGGCAGCCAGAAAGTAAGAGAGCACCTGAGCAGGCCGCAGGGTTTAGAGCTCTATATACGGTTTCCAGGGTTTTGAGGACTTCAGATCGTACCTTAGTTCAGGAATAATTGTGGTGGGGAGTTGTGTGGGGCTTTCCGATATAACCTATTAGGTTGGATTGGAAAACCAGGCCATAATCAAGCTCATCGTTTCATGCTTTCTTCAAAGACTCAAATGTGATTCCAAGGCGGGAGCTACTTGTAGTCAGACCCAGCGGCTTCAACCTGTAGCCCTTAACGCAATCTCAATCTCGAATGCGTAGCGGACCTAAGCCCTAAACCAAGACTGCTTGGCGAAGGCGCAACCATGGGAGGGCATTCCTTGAGGACGGCTTCCTTTCGCCACATCGGTCCGGCTACGAGCTTTGGATGCAAGACTTCTGCTTCATGGAACGCATGCGCATGCGTGGGAGTCTATTGCTACAGGTACATCCGATTAACAGTGGGGTTGTGCCATCGACCCCTCAAAGTGAAAGAGCACGGAGAAGCTCCCAGGACAAGAAATCCCCACCGCAGGCGCCTTAGAACCCCCTTTAACCAACTACCATGACTTTGAACGAAAGAACTCTACAGTGCTGCCACGCTGCTTTGTGACATGCGCAAGAGCTTTAAATTTAGAGCTTGTCATTTACTGCCCACGCTCACATACTACTGTGTGCATGGTTGTTTCACGTGCGGCCCAGGAATGACATGTGTTGTTCATGCCACCATATACAGAATGGGTAACCCTGCGATGGTTGATTAGCTACACATTACTTCCCAAAAAGCGCTTGCCTACGGTAGTTCATGATGAGATCGATAATTAGATAAACAAGCATTAAAAGGCTGCACCATTCACACAGTGTACAAGCCAGACAGTTGGAACATCATACTTCAGCAATATTCATCCGCAAGCATTTGTTCCAACATGTTCGAGGTAAACAGGGGCTTCTGGTCTTTCCAGACTGGCAGGGCCAGACTTGCCGTCCTTTTCAGGGCTGAGATACTGGTACTTGAATTTGCCCGAGTTTGCATTTCTTCTGTGAGGGGGGGGTGTGTGCCCCTATGATCTCCAGCAGCATGGGCGCATGGCCTGGATTTCAAGTTCACGGTTCAGGGTCAAGATCTGTGCAAACGATGCTCGAATATCTCGCTGCGTCCTATGCGCCCAGAGGCCGGATCGCCGATAAGAAAAAACACACAAAGGTCTACACTACCCATGTAGTCAATATGCAGTATACTTGGCCCTAAAGTACCTATTTAAGGACCCCATATATGCTATGTACATATTGGCCTTCTGGCAATGCAGCTCCAGACTCCAGGAGCTGAGCCGGAATCTTGAAGCAGGAGGCTCGTACCGTGCGTCCCAAAATGTCAGCAGGCAGTTGGCTAATGAAAGGTTACGTCTTTTCTACTGTACTTATAGTGTAATTTGCGAATTCCTTATCATGGGGTCAACATCGACTGTACAAGCTATAGTAGCTCCGGTTGGGTCCTGGAAGTGCGTCGGAAGCGCGAGAAGCCAGTAGGCCTCCGGTGCAGGACAGGGTTAAACTGTCTTGAGGCCACAATAGCATGATTACTGTTGCTATTCTTCTTAATTATAACTATGATAGCGACAGTCTTTCTTACTAAGTACCGTTGTAAATCTCAAATGCCGAAGCCAACTAACCCTGAGCCAGATGTGATGTGCTTTCTCCGGGAACGCATCGGGGCTGACCGAGACCTCGCTAAAACCGGGCCTTAATAATTAGAACATGGCTTTGGGGGTACACTATACTGTAATTATCATGAGGAACTGAGGAACCCCCAAAGATTATTATATTATAATTATAATAAGGACCCCGCAAAGTAGTATAGGTAGTTATCTAGGCCCCTATAGTAAACGGACCTTGGCTGAACGTAGGGAAAGCCGGGCCCTGAAATATCCAGTGAATTTCAGGGTGTCTTTCGGACCTAGAGTCCAGAGACTGTGTACAACAAGAGGTGTATATATACATATATATGTGTAAACATATATATATACAATGTGTAACATACATATATATATATATATACACAGACATATATTCTAGTTCTTGATATTTACATACATATCAGCCTCAAGCCACGTACGAGCAACTCTCAACGTTAATTCTTTTTGTCGGAAGCCTCCAGAAGTGGCGCTGGCGAAGTACCACCGCCGTAGAAGCTTACAGCCTCTCGCTGCTGCACTTGTAGTTTAGTAGCAGTCCCTGCATCAACGAAAAGCAGAACCAGAAAAGGGCAAGTAGTCGAAAGGACGAGGGAAACACAGGTGTAAGCTACTCTTGCTCCTGCTACTTCTCGTGTGGGTCGAAGTATTCATCGCTACATGTCTTTCGATCACACCGGCAAGACATTACTTCTTGCCGCGGCAGTAGGTCTGGCGAGCCTGACGCTGACACTCAATCCACAATCGCGTTCGCGAGCAATCACAAGTGCGCTGCGGACCACAGCAGCAATCCCGTTCATGGGGGTGCGGCTTACCCACACAACACAAACTCAAGTTGGTTGGCTCGTCAGTCAGGGCATTCGCGACACATGGCGTATTGATAAAGTGAAACCCGGGAAATCTTCATTTGCTACAGGGATCGATGAAGCATCCGTCAAGAAATACTTGCCAACAAATGTCTCGTTGGAGCTTTCACTATCCCGGCTGCAAATTCAACACCTCTGCTGCCACCCCTGACTCACCACTGCCATCATTGTGATTGACCAGGGTTACCAGTCTTGCTGTGTTCTTATTCTTTGTTTATGGCTTTCTGTGGGATGAGGCCCAATCTGGGACTCCAAGGCCCCTCGGTGCTTGGGTGAGGGCACAACCTGATGAAAAAAGGAGACTCAATTTTAAAGGGACCAAGTAAACATGGTAGCTGAAGCGGAGGCAGAAGGAATGCCAGAGTTGAATACTGTAGCAGCTACTAACAGCAAGTGTGGCTGTAGAGATAGTAGCCACAGTCATGACGATGAGGACAGCAAACACTGCTTCAATCACTCTGATTCGCGCAGAGTTTACAGCACACAAGCACACGAGGAATAAGAGTCACTACAGCAGTAGAAGCACCTACAACGATTGCTGCGGTTGATTCTTGCCACTGTCGGTGGCGATGTCACTAAATTGTGCCCAGCAGGGGCCAGTGGCAGGCAGGAATGGTGGCGGTGACTGAGTCGATATTGAAGGTGGCCTTGATCATGCTACTTTCGTTACTCATGGCGGCGGTGCTACCCCATTGTTGCTTACACGCCTGTTCTTGTTGCATCTTTTGTTATCGTGGCTGCACTGGTTGTTGCTGATGCGCTCCGGATGCGAAAGCAATCTCCAGGACAATGTTTCACCAAACGTCCACAGCCGTAGCATGCCAACTCAGCACGTGTAAGGTTGCAAGCAAGAAGGCAAGGCATACCACCGTCTGTTGTCATGCACTGCATGGACACGGCAATGGCTTTGCTTACTGCGGCACAGTGGGACTCAGGACTTCGGCAAAATTAGGAATCTTCCCTAAACCCCCAACCCTAAACCCTCAACCCTAAACCTTAAACCTTAAACCTGAAATCCTAAACCCTCAACCCTCAAC